GCCCTTTGAGTCTGGTATGGAGTTTGAGGGAAACCTCCCACGACAACATTTTTTTTTAAATGGCGTGGGGATCCCCCCAATATCCCTACCAGACCCTTATTTGAAAATGCAGCCCGGCAGGTCAGGAAAGGGGGAGGGCCAGCGAGCACCTCCCCCTCCTGGGGCCCCCAGATCCCGCCCCCCCATGTGAATAAGTATGCGGTAACAAAAAAAAAAGTGTAGTGTAAAATAAGACAGGAGACAGTCTTTGACAAGCCATTTATTAAAAAAAAAGAGATGTAGTAGATTCGATGTCAATCATGATGCCAGCCGCCACCGTGCCGACCTGAAAAAGAAAAAAAGAAATCAGCTCCACCCTCAATGCTGGCTCCCGCCGTTTGACCGCTACACCGCGATGCCAGTTCTTAACCACTTGCCTACTGGACACTTTTACCCCCTTCCTGCCCAGGCCAAGTTTGCGCTTTCAGCGCTGTTGCACTTTGAATGACAATTGCGCAGTCAGTCATGCAACACTGTACCCATATTAAATTTTTGTAATTTTTTTAACACAAATAGAACTTTCTTTTGGTGGTATTTAATCACTACTGGGGTTTTTTTCATTTTTTTTTACTATAAACAAAAAAAAAGAGCAAACAATATGAAAAAAAAAGTTTTTTTTTGTTTCTATTATAAAAAAACAGGTAAATTTTCTCCTTCACTGATGTGCGTTGATGAGACAGCACTGACGGGCACTGATAGGCGGCTCTGATGGGCACTGACTGGCAGCACTGACTGATGCCACTGACTGACGGCACTGATGGGTGGCACTGTTGGGCACTGAATGATGGCACTACTGGGTGGCACTGCTGGGCACTGATGGGCGGTACTGTTGGGCAGCACTGATGGGTGGCACAGCTGGACACAGATGGTCGCCACTGGGCACTTTGGGGCTGCACTGATAATCAGGGCACTGGTAATCAGTGCCTTGATTATCAGTGCAGATGTCCTGTGTGACACTGTCAGGGATGCGGGTGTGACCAGAAGTGTGTGAACTGACACAGGGAAACGTAGGCTTCAGATATGGTAAATAATATAATTTATTAAGACTAACAATACAAACGCAGTGCAAAACTAAACATAACACAGTGCAAACAAACTGAACCAAACCTCCAACAGATAACAAACATATGATACAAGAATAGTCAGGCAGGCCGGGTCAGCAACAAACGGGCAAACGGAGTACCAGGAGCAGGCAGGGGGGAGAGTGGTCAGGACTAGCCGAGGTCAGTACAGGCAGAGTTCAGGCAGCGTCAGGACAGCAGAAACAGGATCAGGAAACCAGGGCCAAGCAAACAGTACAACAAGGCACAGACTGCAGGTCTGGCCATCCCTTAAATACACCACTTGCAATCAGCCCCAGGTGATGGCTAATTGCCGAAGTGAGCCTCTGGTTGTGAGAGCACCCGCTGGCTAGCCCTGGTACTGCAGCCCACAAGGCAGGTGAGTCCCACCACTATTGGCAAGTCCATTCCTGACAGACACTTTACAGTTATCGGCAGTACTAGCGTCACGCTGTGACAGCATGAGGAAAGTGCTGCCAATAGCAGGCAACTGTATTTACTGTGTCATTGGACACAGCTCATCATGTGGCAAAAGGCCACTTACATTGGCCTTTTACCTTGTCATGTGATCAGCTGTAGAATGCTGAAGGGAACCAACCACTGAGAACAAGCTTCCTGGAACTATTCACAGGCTTCTCTTCTCTTGCCAGCATCTCCATGATGTACCACCCCAGACCCTAGATGAAATTCTCCTTGTCACCCAGAAATCTGGAGGTTTTTTCATGAGCAGGGGAGTCTGTCTCATGTGCTGTGCTCCTCCCCTATCCACCCAGGGCGCATATGGGTTCTTACTCAGATCCTCTCTTGTACCAATTGTGCGTTGGCTACTGCTATCAGCTGGACTGCACCTTCCCTGCCATACAGGTGGTCCTCACTCAGGGGGCCAGTGAGTTCCAAGCTTTCCTCTTTTCCAGCTCCAGGCTTGCAGGCAGGCCCTATCCCACTAGGCTTTCTGGCAAGCTCCTTCCTCACAGCCTCACATCTTCCTCTCAACTCTCCACACTCCCCGCTCCACACTCCTGCTACTGAGCAGGCTCCAATACTTTTAAAGGAGTCCCAGCACCTTGCCAAGCCTTCTGTTGGGGATTGGCTGGAGTCCCTCAAGAGTGCAGCCAGCCACTTCTCAGATCCACCCACTGTGTAGTGTGAAAAAAGACAGGACATGGTCTTTGACATGTCCTTTATTAAAAGAAAAAACTAAAAGAATTTCCCCCACTGTAGATCCTATATCAATCACGATGCCCACCGCCGACCCAAAAAAAAAGGTTCCGTTCCCGATGATGGCTGCCAGCCCTCTTCCTCTGAGCTGGCTTGACAGTTCTTAAATATGAAAGGGGCGGGGCCACCCGGGGACATCACGCATGTGACCCCACCCCATGTTACATCAATGATCTCACATGGAGCGTGCTGATGTCCCCGGGTGGCCCCGCCTCTTACATATTTAAGAACTGTCAAACCACCAGAGCAGGCAGAAAGCTGGAAACCATCATCAGAAGCTGAGCTTTATTTTCAATTCTTTGTTCGGGTTGGTGGCAGCAGCGGCAGTGATGGTGGGCATCGTGATTGACGTTGTATCTATTTCGGGGGGGCATTATTTTAATTTTTTCTTTTGATAAAGGACTTGTCAAAGACCGTGTCCTGTCTTTTTTCACACTACACTTTTTGTTTTTTTGTGAATGAGTACCCCATACTCATTCACATAGGGGGAGCGGGATCTGGGGGCCCCCTTGTTAAAGAGGGCTTCCAGATTCTAATAAGAACCCTGCCCACAGACCCCCACAACCACCAGCCAGGGTTGTGGGGAAGTGGCCCTTGTCTCCATCAACATGGGATGAGGTGCTTTGGGGGGGAGTCCCCCTGCCCCAAAGCACCCCCCCATGTTGAGGGTATGTGGCCTGGTATGGTTCAGGAGGGGGGGGCGCTCGCTCATCCCCCCCCCCCTTTCCTGACCTGCTGGGCTGCATGCTTGGGTAAGGGTCTGCTATGGATTTTGGGTGGGACCCCCATTCCATTTTTTTTTAAATTTTGGTGTGGGAGTTCCCCTCAAAATCCATACCAGACCCAAAGGGCTTGGTATGGATGGGAGGGGGAACCCCACGCCATTTTTTTTAAATTTTTTTTTTAATTGTCGGCAATTCTTTTACATTCAGCTGTCAGTGGGGAACCCCCCTGACAACTGAAACATTAAACACATGGTTGTCACTACTAAAATACCTCATGACTTAATAAAATAACTCATGCAGTATTTTAGTAGCGTTTACTTTTTTCTGACCTCCGGAATGCATTTATTGGTTTTTAATGTATTCCTATGGGAAACGGTATTTCGGTTTAGGAATTTTTCGCTATACAAAAAGTCCTGCAGAACTAATTACATTCATAAACCGGGGTATTACTGTACTTGCAAAAAATTATGAAGGACATTAGATGGTGGTGGCCTGCCATTTAGGGTCACTCACATGGACAAAACAGCCCTCTGGATTTTCTATGCTGAATAACAGGATTCAGCTGGTGAGCAGGGCAGTCAGAGTCTACATTTATATAAATATCAAAAGCCCGGGAGGTTGGCCAGGAGAGTGCAGGGACAGACTGAAGGAGAAGGAGGTGTGCTGATAGCTGAGGTGCTGAACTAGGCTGAGGAGCCAGAGTTGGAGAGTAAGGAAGAGTGGAAAGAGCCTATTGACCACCTGGTCTGCCACACTGCCCACCAGGCCAATCTGACAGCAGGAGATCAGACTGGGCACTGAGTCTGAGCTGGAGAGTCCATGGATTGACCCTGTCTTCAGGGAAAGGCAGACCGCTATGATCTGCCGGACTACTCTGATCAGGTGAGAGAGACCCATACATCCACTAACCAAGTGAATACTGACAGTTGTCACCTCAGCTATCTACCTACATATAGCTGTGAAAATTACATATAGTTGCCCCAGTTTGTGGCCTGGTTCTCTCAGCCATCATCGTTGAGATACATATGCATTACAGTTTTTTGTACAAGCTGACCACAGGACATACACTTGCAGGCCAGGATACAGCAGTGCCAACTGAGACAACAAGTTTCCCCAAGGATTCCCATTACTATTTATTTTTGCTTTTGATGTTTCAGAGGGAGCTTGCCTATAGACATTTATGTCGTGTTGCTATTCATTACTTCAAGTGTGCCCTATGTTTAGTGTTTTAAAGGGGACCCACCCACCCTAATTCACAACCATCAAGAGGAAAAGTGTTAACTCTCCCTTTTCCCTCTCTATCTTTGTATTACCATCTTAAGGAACTATATTCCGCACCACAACTCAACTTTATACCAACTGGCCCCCAACAAGCGCACAGAAGACATTGCAGCATTCTTAAAGGGACAGGGCTGAATTTCAAATGAGAATTCTCTTTCCTTCCATCTAATCTTGTCATCTAGTTCTGAGGACCCAACAGTGACCTTACCTGTTTGTTGATAGTTGTTCCTGCTCACTGGGGATTCTGCAGTCCCCTCCGATTGTTGGCAGGCCTTCTTTCAGAAATAATCCACTGCCTCCAGTTATTGTTGCTTTACTGTGAATGTCTTTATTTTTGCTCAAAATTACCAAGAGTGTTTTTTATTTGCTGCATACTGTATATCAGTGTCATTTTGTTCTTGTTGACCAAGTTACATCTAATTCGGGTATAAATTTCATATTGGTCTATACTAACATGTGTGTTTGTCCATTTTACAGTTGTGATTTATTTTGGACATAAAAGCACGATGGTGTCAGCAGAGGTTCGGCTTTCAACAAGAGGTTCAGATTGACAGGGAACCCAAAAATGACAAAGCAACCCTTAAGGAGGTAGTGCTACAAAATATTTGGTTCTTTATTCCTGCTGTCTTTTAATTGGTAATTTACCGTAAGTATTTTTAAAGTGTTACTAAACCCCGGACCCTGCACTCACTATATCTGATCTCCCCGGACCCTGCACTCACTATATCTGATCTCCCCGGACCCTGCACTCACTATATCTGATCTCCCCGGACCCTGCACTTACTATATCTGATCTCCCCGGACCCTGCATTCACTATATCTGGTCTCCCCGGAACCTGCACTCACTATATCTGGTCTCCCCGGACCCTGCACTCACTATATCTGATCTCCCCGGTCCCGCACTTACTATATCTGGTCTCCCCCGGTCCCGCACTTACTATATCTGGTCTCCCGGACCCTGCACTCACTATATCTGATCTCCCCGGACCCTGCACTCACTATATCTGATCTCCCCGGTCCCGCACTTACTATATCTGATCTCCCCGGACCCTGCATTCACTATATCTGATCTCCCCGGACCCTGCATTCACTATATCTGGTCTCCCGGAACCTGCACTCACTATATCTGATCTCCCCGGACCCTGCATTCACTATATCTGGTCTCACCGGACCCTGCACTCACTATATCTGATCTCCCACATTACACACAACATTGAAATGCAATTATTTTAGTCAATATAAACTGCTAAATACCTTTTCTCATCAGCAGCTAGAGCAGTCTTGTGACTTCAGCACAGAGCACTGGTTAAAGCTTGTTGGAGAAGTTTTTTTTTCTGCTCTAGGGACCCCTGACCTTCTTTCTGGACAGTGCTGATTGGCCCTGTGCTGATCACATGCATTCTACCAAGAAAAAAAAAAAACCTCTCTAGCTATTCACACCAAACTGAGCATGTGCATGTGACTACGGGTTCAGTGTGTCTTATCAGGTGGACATTTGAGCAAGAGGAGGATCATAGAAGACTGGATCAAACAGCCTTTTTACACAATGCAGAGGATTAACCCCTTAGGTTCCACAGTGAGTGAGTATAACAAGCATGCTTTACTGCATATACAGACTGATTGTACTGTTGTGGGTCTAGTAGTACTTTAAGCCAGTCAATCATTATTTCCATAAGCAATGGAAAAAGTGCTTCCCTGTTTTATTCTACCATTTGAATGAAGGATTATAATCTCAAAAAGTAAAAGGGTTTTTCCTTTACTTTTCATCATAAACCCTGCAGGCTAAATTCATCTCAGTGATATTTGGTAGAATGTAAAAACTTTTTCTGCCCTAGGCACCTGGAGTAGCCCTGTTGGGCTCGGGGGGTGAAATGGCCTTTAATCTGCTGTGAGCAATTCCAGGCAACAAGTTGAAAAATGTGCGTTGCTGATGCTATCTAGCAAACATTGCAACTATGCAAAAATTGGAATGCTATCTCAAATAATCTTAAAACAACACTAAACATTGGATAAAGAAAAATCTACACAAGTATGTATTCTTAAAGTGATATTAAAAAACACACTGTTTCATTTGCATTGCCCCTTCTCTTTCTGTTTACGGGGGATGGCACTCTAATTATTTTAATTAAAAAAAAAAAAAACATTTAAAGGCTAAGTTCACCTTTGAGAACATGTTACATGTTCCACCCATTTTTATGGTGGAACATGTAACATGTTCCCGATCCTGCAGCTGCTGCTCGCTGCCCCCCTCCCTGTGACAGAAATTCCCCATACTAGCTGTCAGTTTTCAAAATTAGCTGCTGTTCTTACTGACGTGTTTCTCATTAACTTGATTTGGGGTAACTCAGGAGTTATTTCACTTACATTCAACGGTTCACACAGCTAGACTTTAACTTTTGGAACAGATGGGGGTCATGGCTCAATGGCTCAGCAGGAGAGCACTCTTTTGGGCACCCCCACCTGCTCTATGGGTGAATGCAGGGGCGGACTGACCATTTGGGAACTCGGGCAATGCCCGAGGGCCCGGGGTCAGTAGGGGGCCCCATGAGATGCCCCTGGTACCTCTTTCAGAGGCTTTTTTGAGTTTAGGCAAGGATACAGGGGCCCCATGATCCCCTATTGCCCGGGGGGCCCCAAGAGTTGTCAGTCCGCCCCTGGGTGAATGGAGATGCGGAGTTCCGAGTTCCTTCTCGTCAGCTCTGGTTGCCTTGTGTAAATGATAGTCCCAGCAGAGTGATGCACACCGGGTTCCAGTTTTCCTTGTAGTACAGTGTAGTGATGGGCTGAACAACCCCCCCCCCCCCCCCTTCGTTTCATGGTCAAACATTCGAACCTACAGAATGTTCGACTGTGAACTTCGAACATGAACAATTTACTGAGCAGTATCTTACCGCATCTGAGTATGTGGTAGGATACCACTCAGTTACTACAACACGGCATGAGTTATATTGTCATGCTGTATTTTTGTATTTTAGTAGTGAAACATTCATTACTGTTTCAGCTGTCAGGGGGGTTCCTCACTGAGAGTTGAATGTAAAAAGAATTGTTGGCATTACAATAAAAAATGTTTTTAAAAATGGCGTGGGGTCCCCCCCCCATCCATACCAAGCCCTTTGGGTCTAGTGTGGATTTTGAGGGGATCCCCCACGCCAAATTTTTTTAAAAATGGAGTGGTGGTCCTTCCTAAAATCTATATCAGACCCTTATTCGAGCATGAAGCCCAGCAGGTAAGGAAAGGGGGACGAGTGAGTGCCCCCCCTTCTCCTGAACCATACCAGGCCACATGCCCTCAACATGGGAGCGGTGCTTTGGGGCAGGGGGGGCTTTCCCCCAAAGCACCTTGTCCCCATGTTGATGGGGACAAGGGCCTCTTCCTCACAACCCTGGGCTGTGGTTGCGGGGTCTGCGGGCAGGTGGCTTATCAGAATCTGGAAGCCCACTTTAACAAGGGGGCCCCAAGAGCCCTATTATATACCACAATGTGCCACACTTCACTTAAAATTATACATCAGTTGCTATTACATATGTTGCATATCACACTAAATAACAATAATAGTAAAACAGTGTCAATTTCCAATAGCAGTGTCCATATAATTACCAAAAAAGTCCATATATGAAATTTCTTGAAACTTTCATAGTTCACTTTAAAATACAGTAACCCGTACTTCTAAAATAAAATATTTTGTGTGGAAAACTTGCATAGACATGCTCCCCCACTGGTTGTGCTCCCACCTCAGGTATATGACCAAACCGTTAAGTAAGTTCATATAACGCTTGTGTCCTTTTAAATTGGCTAGAGTATGGATGAGATGAAATCCTACTGTTTGGGGTCCTTCTCCACTCAAGTGATAATCTTCCCTTCCACGGTGGTTAATATAGAGGAATGAATCAAATTATAGTGTAATATCCTTTAAAAAAACCTTTGTACCATCGAGCGTCGTGACATCAAAGCCCTTCCCCTACGCGTTACACCACCGGCAGGGGCGGACTGACCATTTGGAAACTCGGGCACTGCCAGAGGACCCGGGGTCAGTAGGGGGCCCCATGAGATGCCCCTGGTACCTTTTTCATAGGTTTTTTTTTTAGTTTGCGCAAGGACACAGGGGCCCCATGATCCCCTATTTCCCGGGGGCCCCATGAGTTGTCAGTCCACCCCTGGCCCCCGGTCACGTGGTTTCATCCCCCCAGATTCCTCCCCCATGTGAATGGGTATCAGGGTGTCAATCACGATGCCCACCGCTACCCGAAAAAAACAAAAAAAACCTGCTCCACTTGCGATATTGGCTCCCGGCCGTCTGACAGCTGCTCCCTGATGACAGTTCTTAAATACTGCTGTGACATCATCCTGTGCTGTGATTGGACAAAGCCAAGCCTGTGGTCAGGTGCATTGCTTTGACCAATCACAATGCACTGTAGAGGCCTAGTGCATTGTGGAGCATGGCGGGTGATCTCGAACATGAAGCCCAACACTAGTACAGAGCAGCAGTGAGAGCTGGCTGGAGGGAGCCATTGCTCTGCCCTGTTTCTGGGGCCAGCAGGAGTGCAATTTGAGCCATACAAAATGATTGGCTCAAATTGCACTGCAAATCAAACTGTACCTGCAGGGAAAATGCTTGTGAATCAGACAGGAATCACACAGTATTCCTGCTCAAATTGCATGCAATTTTTTGCAGTGTGATTTGAGCCCCTTCATTTTGTATGTGCTCAAATCACACCACAATGGTATCAGTGATTGGTATCAGTGAGTACTTGAGTACAAGTATCAGTACTAGTACTCAGTAATAAAAAAAACGGTATTGATGCAACCTTAGTATATGATGCTGATGCCAGTGTGTGCAAGTACTATGCAGAGTCATACAAAGCATACAGTGTAAAGCACTCACACAGCACACAGTTAACCATTTGATTGCCCCACATGTTAACTCCTTCCTGCCCAGTGCCATTAGTACAGTGTCAGTGCTTTTTATTAGCACTGATCACTGTATTGGTGTCACTGAAGATGTCAAAAGATCAGAGCTGGATAGAAAACTGGTTACAGGAGCACATTTAGAGATTAGTGAGTAATGACATATTTGCTAAATGGTCTAAAGTTGTGAGTGGGTTACCCCAGGGTCCTGTCCTGGGACCAAATCTGTTTGCAATACCTTCACAACAAGAAATATCAACTTTAGAAGAAGGCTTAGGTAAAATAGAAGGGTAGGCAGCTATGTGACAGATGAGATTTATTATTGAACAATATAAAGTAGTGCACTTGAGAGCTAAAAATATATTATTATTATTATTATACAGGATTTATATAGCGCCAACAGCTTGCCCCTGTACTGCAAGGGTTAAATGTGCAGAACACAAAAGGCAGTTTCACTTACCCGATCCTTCACACCCTCAGCACTCAGTGCTCTCCTACTTCCCTATAATCTGGCAATGGATTGTCCCTAGGCATACTCACATCCAATTCAGGTGTTTTGGACTCTCCCTTGGACTTGATGATTTCAAGAGCATGTGCAAAGTGTACAGGACACAGGTCCCATACACAGTCCCAAATTCCTTTCATGTTTTTTATGACCTGATGTGCAGGTATTATGCAAAATGCTTTCCATGCATACCACCTGTGATATTTGGGGAGTCCAGATCACCAGACAGCGAGGTTAGTAAAAGCAAGCATTTTTTAACCACTTGATGTCTGGAAGGTTTTATCCCCTTCATGACCAGGGTATTTTTTGCTATTTGCACTACTTTAACTGGTAATTGGATGGTCATGCAACACTGTACCCAAATGAAATTTATATATTTTTTTGTCACACAAATAGAGCTTTCTTTTGGTGGTATTTGATCAACAATGGCTTTTTTTGTTATTATATAAATAAAAAAATACTGAAAATGTTTTGGGGAAAAATTATTTTCTGCTATAAAACAAATCCAATAAAAAAAAATCTCATAAAATAAAAACTCAAATTTCTTCATGTAGACCAAAATGTATACTGCTACATGTCTTTGTTAAAAAAAACTATGATATATATACTGAAATATTTATTTATTTATGTATTTATTTTATACTTGTAATGGCGGTAATCAGCAACCTATAGAGGGACTGTGATAGTGCAGCGGGCAATCTGGCACTGATGCTGGGAGGGAAGTTGACTAGCTGACTGACACAGACATC